ATGTCCAAGGGCTCTTTTCAACTCCTCTGTATTCGCCTGGAAGCAACGTTGGGGAGAGGCATCTGAACAGCATGGAAATTGTAAATTGACAATAAAGCTGATCTTTTGTACAGTGCATTTGGTTCTCTTTTATTTACCAGTCAACAGACACAATTACAATAGTGCAGACACACCTTAGTGCAAAGATTAAATGTCAGTATCAAAACAGTACTCATACTGTATATTTGTATATTAATGAGTATATTATGTTAAATGTGTGTTAAAGACAATGGGATGAGGTTGAAAGCTCTTTAAAAACTTTTGTATACATACATGTTAACATACATGTTAAGCATACACACCTGAAGAACTACGTTACACACACACAGGTTAGTCTGTGTACCGCTGCACTGCTGTTGGTTTAAACAAAGACAGTCATGATGCTAGTGCCGTGCATGTGGGTTCTCTTTTATTTATCAGCAGCAGATCAATAAGTGTCAGTAGTATCAAAACAATATAATAACAGTGGCAATATATATATATATAATAACAATAGGTAGGCTCAGCAGCAGACACACCTTAGTGCAAAGTTAGGTGTCAGTATTAATAACAGTGGCATATATATATAATCACAATAATACAAAATTAACTGTCACAGGTGTAGGCAATTTGGGGTGAAGTGTCTTGCCCAGGGACACAACGACATCCTGACTGCAGTGGGGTTTGAACCTGTGCTCCCCTGATCTGAACACCAACGCACCAGACCACTGCACTACACGCCTCCCAACAAGTCATTGTACAGTTTATCAACGACAAGTTTTTCTTAATTTTTGTATTGAAGGCCTGTTGGATTTAATCAGCTCGCTTAGCACTGCCAGAAGCCCAGCCTGAAAGGTATTTTGTTGCTCCACCTCGATTCCTGGGCCTTGTGTGAATGCAGCAGCCGTTCGTCGTGCATCTCCTTGGCACGCAGGTCCTCATTCTCCTTGCTGACCATGGCACGGCGGTCCATCGCCATGATGGTGTCAAGGAAACTGTCATCGCGTGCCCACTTTCCTAAGGTGAAATATGCAAGATACAAGATCAGTTTAATCGCAACAACGAGACAACATTGTCCAAATCTGTCTCTGCAGGCACACAACAGGAGGAACACGGGGAACACCTTTGATTTGACTATTAACATTTTAAATGGTGAAGGCACTAGCAATTGGGGGATGGAGGGCTCTCAGGTCATGATAGGGAGGCGTGTGGCGCAGTGGATAAGTGCATTGGTGTTCGGATCAGGGGAGCACAGGTTCAAACCCCACTGCAGTCAGCATGTCGTTGTGTCCCTGAGACACTTCACCCCAAAGTGCTCCTGTGGGGATTGCCCACAGTATTGAGTATGTAAGCTTTGGATAAAAGCGTCTAACAAGTGACATGTAATGATTCAAAAAGCTTTTGAATATTGAATAACAAACCAATGTGGTTTACTTGTTATCCACAGTTTAGCTGCTAAATGTTTTTTAGCAATGCTTTTCTTTGTGATCCACATATCTAAATGTATAAAGTGTGTTTTCACCTCCGTTCCCTCCTGTTTGCTGCAGTATGGCAGCAGCGGTCAGGATGGTAGTCCTGATGGTGTCCGCTGACCGGGCACAGGGTGTGGAGCTGCCTACTCTCAGCGGGGGGGAACTGAACGTGGAAACTGTGTTTCTCTGAGGGATCCTCCATGTAGTCTGAGAAGCCTTCTGAGGAAACAAGGTCAAACTATTTAGGATAATACAAGGAACAATGTTTAGGCAGTAAATAGAATTTCAATTACATTTCTACTTCAATGTGCAAAAATATTAGAACATCAGTCTTTGTGGCATGCAGGTAATCAACTGTTTAAGCTTTTACCATTAACATGTAGAATGAATGTTGCAAATTACTTGAAATTATAGCAACTACAATCTATTGTTTACCTCTATGCATTAGCCACAGAGGTAGCATTATGTCCAGCTAGCATGCTAATTGCTAACGTTATATTATCGTTTTATCCCGGAGGGGAAAACTAGTTTCTAATCCTGAGAGAAACACCTCGCCTGAAACACACGATTAGTGCCATGAGTTAGTGAAGCAAATTACAGAACATTGCACACTTATTCACAAGTCAAAACGTGTTCATAGCGGGCATGGATGAGAATAGCTAGCTAGCTAGATGTTATTATCCAGCTTGGACCTAACGTTAGCTAGTTCTAGCATGGCTAGCTCGATCTACTGAGCAAATAAAAGTACATCTAAGACCAGTATTGTGCAGATTAAAACTGTGCAGTGCATGTATTTTATTTTACCTTGGTAGTCGTCCCGACATGACTTTGCCAGGTCTGCTAACTTTGCAGAGCCACAGAAACTGCATTCAGTAGAAGCTTCTGAATGTGGCGCTTCGCATCCTCCGAGTAAATCGCCAGAAGCGCAGACACATCCTCATCACTCCACCGCTCCAATTGATTTATTTAGTGTTGCTATAATAACTGCTTTCACAAAAGTAATCTCTTCGGGTGTGCTGCGAAGCGAGGAAATACAATGGCCGCTTACAACAAAAAATTCAGAGTCAAACGGGCGTGGTTTGCATTCCGCACAGCCAATCAGACGTACGAACTACTTTCTCCCACAACAGGCCCTGCTCCCTAGCAGGGCCTGAAAAGCGGGTCTGAAGAACTAAGTTGAGCTACTTTAGTTCCTGGGGCTTTTTGGTGTGAACGCAAATATATCGTAGTTCTGATGAACTATTGTGGGAAAAGTACACCAAAGTACTCCGGTGTGAACGCACCTATTGAGAGCAAGACTGAGGTTATCTTTTTTGGACCCCAACCTCTAGCCTCCCAGGTTGATATTCTGGGCTCCCTCAAAAATAATATCCTCCCCTCTGTCACGAACCTTGGAGTGACCTTCAATAGCGCTTTTAAATTTGATAAGCAGGTCAGCAGCGTAGTCAAAACCTGCTTTTTTAAAATACGACTATTGGCCAAGACTAAGTCGTTTTTATCGTTTGAGGACCTGGAAAGGGTTATTAATGCCTTTGTTACCTCGAGGTTGGACTACTGCAACGCTCTGTACGTGGGTATGGACCAGGCGTCAATTAAACGCCTGCAGCTAGTCCAGAACGCAGCTGCACGTCTACTCACTGGCCACAAAAAGCGTGACCACATCACCCCTATTCTGGCCTCACTGCACTGGCTTCCAATTCGGTTCCGAATCGATTTTAAACTCCTTTTATTTGTTTTTAAAGCACTAAATGGGCTGGCTCCGGCCTATATAGCGGAACTCCTCCAGCGCTACACCCCAACAAGAGCTTTAAGGTCTGCTGACCAGCTGTTGCTGATAGTGCCAAAGACCAGGCTCAAAACCCGAGGGCACCGAGCCTTCGCAGCAGCTGGCCCTAGGCTCTGGAACACTCTGCCCCTCCATGTGAGGTCGGCCCAGACCCTAGGGGTTTTTAAATCTACTCTTAAGACACACTTCTTCTCCCTGGCCTTTTAGTCAGAGCGGAGCACGACTCCTGACTTTTCCCTGTGTTTTCTTTTTAAATATCTGTTGTAATTTATTGTCTTTTATTGTGATTATAGAAATGTGTTTTTATGTGATTGTAGTTATTACTTGTACAGCACTTTGGCCCGACCAAAAATCGCTTTTAAATGTGCTCTATAAATAAACCTTGATTTGATTTGATTTGATTTGATTTACAGTGTATATGAAGTGTGGCCCTACCTACGGTGAGTGGGTGTGTGTGTGGCTCTAGCTTCCTGTTAGGTTGGATTCTATAAATTCCATTTGGTCTGGTGATTTCTGCTGAACGAAACTTAAAGCCTGCAGTACTTTTCCATTGAGTCAAGGCTTTGTGTTATAACAAAACTTAAAAGCATAATTAATAAGAACATCAATCATAAGCCTTTTTCATTTTTCAGCGTGCACAACAGATTAACTTTATAATGCAAAGTATGAAGAAATATCATATATAATGCATTTAAAATGTTAGGTTAGAAAATATTGCATTTGATTTAACAACTTTGGGGCTTTCACCATCATTCTGACAATCTCAACATGTGTCTCCTGTTGATAGGTATAGTGAAGATGTTATAATATAAGACATTTAATCAGATTGAGTTTATCTATATCATAATGTGAGAGGCTTCGTCAAAGCAGCCAAATGTAACATCCCCATTGATCACAGCATATTTTCAGAAGTTGCAAGGTGAGACAATACCAAAACATTAAGGACAAAACAACAAATCATAATAAAACCCACAAAACAAAAACAGACGAGAAAAAAAAATCATTCATTTATTTATCTTTATATCCTTGCATCCACACACACACACACACACACACACACACACACACACACACACACACACACACACACACACACACACACACACACACACACACACACACACACACCACACACACACACACACACACACACACACACACACACACACACACACACACACACACACACACACACACATACACACACACACACACACAGTGTCCAAACCCATGTTATATTATTCAGTTTGCTTCAATCTCCCCTGGTAGTTTGGCGTTGTCAAAAACCTTCTTTGTCTAGATGTCTGTATTTTCTTCACCTGTAATTACTTTAACTACAGCACATTTTCACACAAAATAAATAATAAAAAAATACTTTTATAATTATAATCAACGTAAGAACAAAGTATCAAACATAGGCATGTGAAAGAACCTTGGGTGTGGCCCTTTATAGAGAGATCCTCACACTGCAGCTAGAGCTGACACAAATTACATAAATAATGAAAGTGGGAACACAGATTAAATTATCAATATGTATTCAGTACATAAAGCCATGAACAATAAGTGAGAGGTAGAAGAGAACTGTTGAAGGAAACTTTGCAGATTGTGTCAATAAATGAACCGGTTTGATGAGTCATGTAATAACTATGTAATGGGAAGACAAACACCTCTCTCTGGAATCAAGCACTACCTGGAAACCACTCCCACTTGGTATATTATTAGTTTCATGCTCGATATTCAGAGGCAGTGAGAGGTGAAATGGCGTCTGCAAACATCCAGCCGAGAATCCAGAATGAAGAGAAAGATTTGGAGCTGCTTCAGCAGGAGGTGGAGGCCATCAATCTCTCTGCTGATAAAGCAGTGAGGGAATGTACTGAATTAGTCAAACTCATTGAGCAAAGAAGTTCTGATGTGAAGCAGAAGATTAAATCCCGGCAGGAATATGAAGTGAGTCGGGTCAAAGAGATTCAGGAGATGCTGCAGAAGAGAATCAGTGATCTGAAGAGGAAAAACACTGAGCTGGAGAAACTCTCTCAAAAACCATTCAGATTAAATACTGGTCCTGTACGATACTTCAAGGATGTGACAGCAGCTGTGTCAGAGGCCAGAGGTAAAGTACTGGAGAGCTTTAATAAGGAATCGAAGAAGATCTCAGAGAAAGTGACTGAAGTGGATGTTAAATTGTTGCCAGACTCCCATACCAAAGCTGAGCTTTCACAATATGCAGCCCCCAAAAATCTTCTCAAACTGGATCCAAACACAGCGAGCATGCGGATACAATTATCTGAAGATAACATGAAGGCAACCAAAGTGAAAGAGCCACAGTCATATGATGACCACGTAGACAGATTCATGGCTAGGTCTCAGGTTCTGTGTGGAAAGGTTCTGACTAATCGTTGTTACTGGGAAGTGGAGTGGAGTGGTTCAGGAGTTTCAGTAGCAGTCGCATACAGAGATGTTCCCAGAACAGGAGAGGAAAGTGCATTCGGGAACAATGACAAGTCTTGGGCACTAAGGTTTAATAAAAGTGGTTGGAATTTCAAACACAACGGTGTAACAAAGGCCATTCCTGTTCCTGTCCCTGAATCCTCAAGGATTGGTGTTTTCTTGGATCAAAAGGCAGGTGTTCTGTTCTTCTACAGCGTCTCTGAAACCATCAACATCGTCCACAGAGTGCACACCAATTTCACTCAGCCGCTCTATGCTGGACTCTTTTTTCATAACTATGGATCTTCTGCTACATTTTGTGAACCACAGTCAAGTGAGGTCAGTGAAAACTAAATGGACATTATTTTGTGAGATCTGCAGCTGAGATGTGTGATCTCACATAGAGTTGTTAATATCATTGTGTCTCCCAGAAAACAATGAGCAGAATGTCTTTTGTAACCTTTTGTTAGCCTGGTCCTGGTCCTGGTCCTGGTCCTCGTCCTTCAGCCCAGCAGCAGCCTGGTCCTTCAGCCCAGCAGCAGCCTGGTCCTTCAGCCCAGCAGCAGCCTGGTCCTGCAGCCCAGCAGCAGCCTGGTCCTGCAGCCCAGCAGCAGCCTGGTCCTTCAGCCCAGCAGCAGCCTGGTCCTTCAGCCCAGCAGCAGCCAGGTCCTGTTCCTCGTCCTTCAGCCCAGCAGCAGCCTGGTCCTGGTCCTCGTCCTTCAGCCCAGCAGCAGCCTGGTTCTCGTCCTCGTCCTGCAGCCCAGCAGCAGCCTGGTCCTGGTCCTCGTCCTGCAGCCCAGCAGCAGCCTGGTCCTGGTCCTCGTCCTTCAGCCCAGCAGCAGCCTGGTCCTGATCCTTGGTAAATGTAAAGGTAAATGTATGATATCGATTGGAGAGAATAGAGCTGCCGGAGTTGGCATTTTCTTCAAATAAAAATATATAACTATTATTAGAAGAAGGGACATAATCCCAGGAAGGCTGCTCATGGTGGATTGTTTTTATAAAAATGAAAAATATCGACTGATCAATGTATATACTGCCCCTGAGGCACAAAATAAGCTAAAATTATTCAGAAGACTAAGAGAACTTTTAACAGTAGGTTATACAATTATATTAGGTGGGGATTTTAACACAGTATCAGAAGAAATAGATAAGTGTAGTACAGCTGTTTTTAAACTGAGGCCGGAAGTAAAACTGTTAAAAGAAATCTACGACGATGCAAACCAAATCGATGTCTGTCGATAACTGAATCCCGTTGGTATGGATTTCACGAGATATGACAAAACAAGCAAAACCCGATTGACAGGATTTATGTATCTAATCATTTCTCAGTAACCAACTATAAAACAATCTTCAATAACTTTTCGGATTATCTTTTAGCCCAAACATCATTATGTTTGCTTCTGGAAACTGAACACACAGTGCCTAAAAGATACTTGTGTTTTAACAGAACTAAAGCTGGAAATACAAAAAATAATACAATTGAGATGTTTAACAAACTCTGACATCAAATTATGGATAAAACATTTTTATTTATTTATTTAAATGTAGAGAATTAAATAAAGCAAAAAATACTAAATATGAATCATTAATCAAACAATATATTAATTTAAAGCAGATTAAAGTTCAATCTAAAACGGTAGAAGAAAATATGTCGGAATTAAAAACTGAAATTGATCAATTGAACCAGAAATTATTATATAATATTCATACAAAATCTGAAATAGATCAAAGAGGCAACTTGGCACAAGCCATTAAAACTAACCAAAAGCAAATTCAAAGTAAATTCATCAATGTATACAAAATCAAGAAGGTTGTATTGTGTATAATGAAAAACAGAAACGAGAAGTGACAAGAGATTTATGTTCTGAAGCATATACAAAAATAGACATTGAAACATCAAGGTCGAACGACTGTCAAGTGAGGTCAGTGAAAACTAAATGGACATTATTTAGTGAGATCTGCAGCTGAGATGTGTGATCTCACATAGAGTTGTTCATATCATTGTGTCTCCCAGAAAACAAAGAGCAGAATATCTTTTGTAACCTTTTGTTAGAGTTTTTTTGTGTGCCTTTTTTTCAATATTTATTTTGGGTTGGGACATAGGGGCTCAGATAATTAAAACATATATACAGTCTTTAACATATGCGATTTTAAGTAGTGCCTGTTTGTCACATGAGGGACAACCTCTGACATACAGTATCTTGTTTATTCTATATTTACATATTATTGTATCTTCTCATTTGTTAGTAAAATTGTCTTGGTGCAAGTTGTTTTTCACAACAGGTTTCACAAGTAGTGCTTTTGAAAAGGGAAAATCAGCTGTCTGAAAACAGGTGTGGACATGTCCCCAATGTAAAAAACATCTATATGGGTGTGTGTGCTTTGTTAGATATTAATATTGTTGTGTTCCTATAATCTCATATTGACACTGCACTACAGGTCTTCTCTTTGTAATCATTTCATATTTGATCATGTGTGTTGTATTGCTGTCACTTTGTAATGCAGATAAAATGTATGTTACTAATCATTAGTTAGAACGTTGTCTTGATAGTGTTTTGAAATGTAGAAATGTAATGTAAAAGGGAAGATTGAACATGAACTTTGAAACTAGATTTGCTGATTAGATTGTCGATAACTGTTAATGAGTCAATTGTTTTTTAAAGAATGAATAAAGTTTTTTCGGATTCATCTGATGTCTCTGTTTCTTTCTTCTTAATAGGCTACATGTTTAGTCGTCCAAAAATGTTAAATGTCGGCCCACGGCATGAGTTAAATAAAGATTACATTTATACAGAGATGGCAAAAGATGATACACGGATCGTGTTCAAATCAATAGGCACGCAATGACTCTAAATAATAATGATCACGCCACCAAACACACATTCAAACTAAAGTAACCAGCCTGTTTGGAAAATGTAAGAAGTAGAAAGTACAGGTATTTGGGTTCAAAATGTAAGAAGTCAAAGTAAAAAGTCATCAGAAAAATAAGTAGTGGAGTAAAGTACTGATACCAGAAAAATGTACTTACGTACAGTAACGATTTATTTGTACTCCACTACTTCCCACCTCTGCATTTATAACAAATATAAACCTGTTTTAGTATCAACACTACAAGAACACTAAAGGTCAATAAGAAAGAACGAGACAAAAAAAGGAGGTGCAAAAATAAGGAAATTACTTAAATCAGCAGACACCACCGTCACCAAGGGAAAAGTAAGCCAATGGGGACATCTGGTGGTGCAACACACACACACACAGCAAACACTGTACACTGTTTTTAACCACACAACTGAAAATTGTGTGCCATAGGAAACCGAGGAGGAAAAGGATGCGGCAACACCACGCATATGTTCATATTTATATGGCAATTATACGGTTTTGTTTTTAATCCAAACTAATAACACTGGTGGGATGATAAATAAGGTAATGCCTAGATTCCCCTTTGGGAGAAAAAGGCAGCTGCTGATCAGTTTTGGACAAAATATGCAAATTGAGGATGAAATGAAAATTGAAAAGGCCCTGTTTTTTACCCTTTCTTGTAGTGTGGATAAAAGAAATGTGTGGTGGTCTGCAAAGGCTCAAATCCTGTACTCAGTTTTTTTTACTAACAAATGAGTACAATAACATAGTAAATATAAATATAGAATAAACAAGATACTGTATGTCTGAAGTTGTCCCTCACGTGACAAACAGGCACGCATTTCAGTTTTAAATATTTTTGGATTATCAACTGTCTTAAAGAATTCTAATGATTTACTCGACATCTACTCAAAACTCCCCTTACATTGCTTACATAACTTACGTATAATTAGTCAAATACATTTTTTCTGCATTACAGATTGACAGCAATACAACACACATGGTCAAATATGAAATGATTACAAAGAGAAGAATTGTAGTGCATTGTCAATATGAGATAATAGTACAACAATATTAATATCTAACAAAACATTACACACACCCATATAGATGTTTTTTACATTGGGGACATGTCCACATCTATTTTAAGACGGCTGATTTTCCCTTTTCAAAAGCACAACTTGTGAGACCTGTTGTGAAAAACAACTTGCACCAAGAAAATGTTACTAACAAATGAGACCATACAATAATATGTAAATATAGAATAAACAAGATACTGTATGTCAGAGGTTGTCCCTCACGTGACAAACAGGCACTACTTAAAATCGCATATGTTAAAGACTGTATATATGTTTTATTTATCTGAGCCCCTATGTCCCTACCCAAAATAAATGTTGAAAAAAAAGGCAAAAAATCTAACAAAAGGTTACAAAAGATATTCTGCTCATTGTTTTCTGGGAGACACAATGATATGAACAACTCTTTGTGAGATCACACATCTCAGCTGCAGATCTCACAAAATAATGTCCATTTAGTTTTCACTGACCTCACTTGACAGTGGTTGTGCGACAAGTGGTTTAAATACCTAAGACTAAAGGTTCAGTAAAACAAGGGGAATATAGAGAAATAGAAAGATAATAGTCCAGCAGATATGTGAAATATCTGAAAGAATTGTGCTTTTGATGATAAAAACATGAACTTTGGCACACTGTTAGAGCATGCCCTAAGGAAGATTTTTGGCTATAGGGCCATCGCATATTTGTCCAATGGCGCCAATTGGTTGTTATTTTACCAGTAGCTTAGGATCTAGACCACCTATGATCTTGATTCTGGTGGCTAATCCGACATTTTCAAGTATGAGGAATGCAGTGGTACTATTTACAACATGCTAGAATGTAGCTAACTCCATGTATCTGGTATTCAGGGAACAAAATACACAGTAAAACCATTAACATATTTATTTTTGTTTTATATTTTATGTATGCACCATCAAATCAAATCAAATCAAATCAGGTTTTATTTATAAAGCACATTTAAAAGCGATTTTTGGTCGAGCCAAAGTGCTGTACATGTAATAAAAAACACATTACTACAAAACACAATAAACGACAATAAATTACAACAGATATAACTTAAAAAACAAAATAAGAATAAAACACACGGAAAAGTCAGGAGTCATGACATCAAGTCAAATTCCTCGTACGTGTGAACCTACCTGGCAATAAACCCGTTTCTTATTCTGATTCTTCTGATTCTGATTATGGTGAAGTAATACATGTTACATAATATATATGTAATATTACAGGTTTTCAACTAAATGCAGAGTTAGTCCTGAAAACACAGTCCACCACAGTGGCAAGGGCAGTGCACTGAATTGCTGCCTTGACACATTAGACAGTTGTCCACTGCACCCCTTTTTGCATCCACAGCGTAGGAGTTCGCAACAGGCCTAGGTCGCTTCTGGTAATGTGGTCCAGTACATTTACCATCCACCTGTGGCCTTACTCTTCCACCCAGGGGGCGTGGGCCCACCCTGGCCAACTTGTGGGCCCACGCAAAGTTATGTGATGAGGCCCTCTGTGTGTGTGTGGGGGGGGGGAGCACGCGAGAAACTGGCGAAACTGTGGCGCGCTTACAGTAATTGCGCCACATAAGCGCATAAAGGTGCGCCGCATTTGCGCTTCGAATGAGGCTCCCTCCGCGAGGTGAGGCCCCCTCCGCGAGGTTAGGCCCCACCCAGTCTGCGTGATCTGTGTGTAGGGAGGGGCGGGCCTGCTTCCACCCCTCTTCCACATCATCAAACGTCATCCATGTATCCCACGCCGTCTTATTGTCCCTGCCACCAAAAGATGACACAGTGTCACATCCAGTAAATGCATGGAACATTGGTAAGGCTATGCATCGATCTGGACCTAGTGATCTCGCCATCTCATTAGCTGCTAAATGCCGAAAACTCTTCCTAGCTCCAAAGGCAACCCACAGCAGTGATGTTGAGGGATTGGGCTGCTGTGACTGCCAGTACTACCACATCCGTGTCAACTGTGCGTATTGACACCTTGCTATACCCTTCCTTCACAGCATCTCCTGGGTGCAGTAGGATGCGGTTATCAGCCTCCTCATGTGTGCATGATGCAAATACTGATTATTTGTTTGCCAGTGTTGAAGGCTGTCACACTGGTTGCCAGGAAGGAGAACAGTTAAGCCTTCTTGTCTTCAATGCGCAGAAACTCTGGCCAGTTTCCAGGAATGACACTGGATGGCTCAACGTGTCTATGAACTCCCTTCTCTCTCTTGCTGCGTGTTTCAGCCTTCAGACTTTCGGGGAAATATTCATCACACACGACATCCACTCTGCTGACATGCCCCAGCTTACTTATTTTTTGTTCCAGCTTCTGTCAAATCAGTTCTATATGTACACTTTAAGCAGTGGGTGTTTTGGAGTCAGTAGTACAGAGTAGAAAATATTCTTCAATCTTTTCATCATGTTGACCAATTATTATTTTAGAGCTTATATTCTTGTGTGAATTTGTTAGTGTTTTAATTTGTTACAGTATTGATCTACAGTTTAAAGGGAGAGTTTTAGTACCCACTCTATAAGATCAGACAAATCTTTATTTGTATAGATCATGTTAAAGGGAAAGTTAGTACCAAGCCAAATATAGTCATATATTTAAATCTAATGTATTGATTTCACCATTGTAGCATAGGTATTACCATAGGAGAACGTTTAATGTGGAATTAACAGCCTGTCCTCCTACAAAAAACGACCATATAGGCCGATTGTTCAAGCCCTTATTACGACCCACACTGTAAAAAAAAACTGTAATCTAGGCAGTAAATTGCTGTATTACCCACAGTAATTTACTTTGAATTTGTAATACAGTGTGATACTGTACATTATGCTGCATTGTGGGAATATTATCCTTAGGCGGGAAATGTATACAGCAATTAAAAAATGATACTGTAATATTACAGCAATACTGTAATGTTACTGTACAGTGTACAGTAACATTACAGTATTGCTGCACATAGTGCTGCTGCATTGTGGGAATATTATCCTTAGGCGGGAAATGTATACAGCAATTAAAAAATGATACTGTAATATTACAGCAATACTGTAAATAGTGCTGTAATGTTACAGTATAATTTTGTTGTTACTGTACAATATTTCGGGGTGAAAATATCAGGAGCAAGAGGAGAGAACCGCTGTGACCTTTAACCGATTATTTAGGTTTAGAAACGTTATTATTGCTGGTTTTTCCCCCCTAAAAGTTCGTATTTTATTTCGAGATTGAGTAGCAGTATTATATGGCTAAACAGCTTCAACAGTCAGCGGACCAAATGGAGGACAGAGATTCAGAATGTCCTCACCCAAATCGAGGAGGAATCCTCCAACCAAGATCTCTCTGCAATTCTGGTCATGATGGCACATTTCAAGGAAAAATAAGAGGCTCTTTTCCTTTTGGCTGATGTAAGTGGAGTTATACATTATGATCTTGTGCAATGAAAATGTAATAATTTATGCCTTTCAAATATTACATTGTATTGTACATTAATTTGAACATATTATTGTGTGTGTGTGTGTGTGTGTGTGTGTGTGTGTGTGTGTGTGTGTGTGTGTGTGTGTGTGTGTGTGTGTGTGTGTGTGTGTGTGTGTGTACGTACGAGCACCTTGTGAGATATCTGTATTTTTGTGTGTGTGTTTATTTAGGCCAAGGTAGAAGAGGCGCGTGACCGTTTGATGGAGGTGACCAGGTGTAACACTGAGCGAGTTCTCTGCATGACGACTCTTATGGACCAGAACCGAGAACTGGAGCGTAAAATCAACGCTAGCCAGAGGAAAATGGTAATTTCTGTGCACATTATTTTTATATGTATTATCAAACAAAGCTTGGATCCCCACTGTCGTATAGGAGTATTAAACTTCCCTTTCAATGAGCTTTATTTCAAGCTGATTCAGAGAGACACATTCTGTAACAACAGAATTGTATTTCCCTTTCTAATCTGCAGAGGGCGACAGACATTACACATAGTCATGTGATCTATTAGATGTTATATTAAAGGGGACCTATCATGCAAAATGCACTTTTTGATGTCTTTTATACATAACTATGTGTCCCCGGGGTGTCGGGAACTCACGCAGCGTCAGAAAATAAACCCTCTCTCTTTTCCTCCGTACCCAAATCTCTAATAACGGGGGAACAACGGAGCTGATCGAGATTTGCGTCCGATATGATGTAATATCGGTAGGGGTGTAACGGTTCACAGAATTCACGGTTCGGTACGTACCTCGGTTTGGGGGTCACGGTTCGGTACAACAAGAAAAAGCAAAAAAAAGTCCCAAATGCATAATTCCAGGTTTGTTTTTTATTTATTTTGAGCAGTAGTGCAAGTTTCAGTTTAAAAATAAGGAACTTTAACATTTTGAATAATTAACTTTAAAAAACAAACCACAAACAGTACCACACACACTCAGATGGCCATATCATCTATAATGGCTGATGTCAAACAAAAAGGTTCAATAAGCTGTAAAACTAAAAAGAATGTCTTGAAAATATTACAAAATAAATAATAAGAAAGTGTTTCAATCACGAAAAGCCGGGGTCCTCTACTATTGCATAAGGGCGCATAGCCGTTGAAAAACATATGCATATGCATTATTTTGGTCTCTCGGCTTTCATGTCTATTGGCTTCTTAAAAACAGCAGGGATAAGCTGTTGAACTGCTGTTGTCTTTTGCCGGGCTCCGGTGATTGCCAAATCTGGGTGATGCCTTCTGATATGATTTAGCATGTTTGGCGTGTGTTACAATTAGCATACCGCACCGCTGTCGAACAACGCCGGCACACCGTCTTCTTCTTTTATTTTGTTCGTTTTGTTGTGTTTTCTTCTTCTTCTTCTTCATTTGTTGTTTAAGGGCGGCTGGCAAACAGCTTTTAGGCGCAAAAGTAATTACATGTAATAGGTTATTGTTTTACCTCAATTTAAAAAGGCGGTTCACTAAATTAGACTCCTTAACGTCATCACACTAGGTATTGTAGGTTTATTGCCAAACATTAGCTTTTCACTTCTGTCGATTGTATTTACGCTTCAAAAATCACAAAGTGGTGATAATATTTGGATATTATATTTGAAGATTATTTGCTGTGATGTACCGAAATCCAATAGGTTAATCCCATTGCTTTTTGTTAAGGGAGTTCTCTCGATGGTAACTTCTGGTTTGACATACAAAATACATCATCACTTTACCACTCATTAGGAATGTGTTTGTGCCTATCCAGAACAACAAGTCCCAGGACTCCAGGAGAGGTGTGGACTGGTGAAGAATTGTACTGTCATAACTACACTGTAGCTATGTACAAATTACAATAAAAGCCTTAACGTCATCACACTGACACGTCCGCCTTTAGCTAGGCGTGGTGATGTGCTGCCATGTGATATCATTTATTTATGGCCAAATATTAGCTTTTTACTTCTGTCGATTACATTTACGCTTCAAAAAATCACAAAGTGTTGATAATATTTGGAGTTCTCTCGATGGTAACTTCTGGTTTGGCATACAAAAATACATCATTACTGCACCACTCATACCTTAGGAATGTGTTTGCGCCTATCCAGAACAACAAGTCCCAGGACTCCAGGAGAGGTGTGGACTGGTGAAGAATTGTACTGTCATAACTACACTGTAGCTATGTACAAATGACAATAAAAGCCTTAACGTCATCACACTGACACGTCCGCCTTTAGCTAGGCGTGGTGATGTGCTGCCATGTGATATCATTTATTTATGGCCAAATATTAGCTTTTTACTTCTGTCGATTACATTTACGCTTCAAAAAATCACAAAGTGGTGATAAAATGTGTTTGTGCGTATCCAGGGCAACAAGTCCCAGGACTACAGGAGAGGTGTAGACCAGGTGGAGATCCAGAGGCTCAAGCAGCTGGTGAAGACAGAATCACAGCAGGCTGAGGCACTCCGGAGAGAGATTGGCCTCCTGTCCCGTAAAGGAGGCCACGTCCTGCCCCCAGCCCCGGCTGCCCCCGATCACCCCCTTGCCCAACCCCACAGGACGCACCAAAACCAGCACCCAAGGACCGGGGCGTCCCCTCAGCCAGGTTAAAGCACCAGACTCCAGCAGACAGGGAGTCAATTAACACTCTGCTTAGTAACAGTAAAAGCACTTTCTTATAAATTATTGTTCTGAAGATTAAAAAATACTTCGGTTTGCTGACCATTAAGTTTGTTTTTGAAAAAGCTGCGCAGTGCAAACCTGTTTATATTATTGACCCCACAACATTTCCTATCACATCACCCTCAGCTAAGCTAACAACAATGAAAAAGGAGTCTCTCTCTGTATGTCCGTCCTTCCATTCCTTCGACAACCGTTCATCAGTGGACTTCACACATCGGGTCGGTCATACTGTTGTACAAAAGTATACCAACAAAAAAGGTTAAAAGCAGAAACGAGACTAAAAACTAAGGTGAAAAAACTCAACAATTTGACAAATTAGGGAAATTAGCACCAACTTGTCAGATAGTGACACAACTACCTTTTCTTTAGGAGAAAACGGCCACATCTGATCAGTTGTGACCAAAATGATGAAGTCAAAGACGTGATGAATAGGCCTTTTTCACAGCATCATATTCACTTGTCAGTAGAAAAATCTATGTGTACCCTATAACGATTCTATTCTATAAGCCATCCTAGTTTGCCAGTTTGCCAGCATTAAGAGTACAATGACCCTGTAACCAACAATAAAATAATTTACAACAGGCTTTAGGATTGGTTTCAGGTTTCCTCGATCCCATTGGATTCATGTGTCTGTATATGAAGTGTGGCCCTACCTACGGTAAGTGGGTGTGTGTGTGGCTCTGGCTTCGTGTTAATAGTCAGGTTCACTATATACTTTTGTGGGATTTTTGTGGGGATTTGCAATACTATACATTTTTGGAAAGGATATTGTATAAGGATTCAGAAAATCCATATTTCCATTTGCCCAGGTGTTTATATGGCGGCCATATTGGAATTTCCAAAATGGCCACCGTAAAATGTAGGTTTTGTAATATCTTGACTTCTAAATAAGCTAGAACATTGATTTGAACTGCTAAACCCACATTTTCAGGATCAAGGAATCCAATGGTGCCAACAATAATTAGGTAGAACTCACTAAATTGCATGTTAACATCACTTTTATTGAGGACTTAACAGATAATTGACATTAACTGATTAAACTGAGTTTAAAATTGTGAACTTCAGTATCATTACATTACATGTTACTTGTTAGACACTTTTATCCAAAGCGACTTACATACTCAATACTGTGGACAATCCCCACAGGAGCAATTTGGGGTGAAGTGTCTTGCCCAGGAACACAACGACATGCTGACTGGAGTGGGGTTTGAACCTGTAACCCCCTGATCCGAACACCAACACACAACCCACTGCACCACAAGCCTCCTTAGTATCATCATGACATGCACATTTTGTGACCACAGAAAATAAGCAACCTTCTTCATTAGACATCTAAATGTATACACATCTATGCATCATCATCACTATCATCATCAACACTTTCATCCATCACGGCATGGGAATCATCGTCGTTCTGGCACTGGCTACTGCACTGACACATATCAGTACAGGCTAAGTCATTAGCTCTGCAGGAACATCTTCCAGAAGAACAGTTAGATTTACATCTGCATTGGACCATCTCAATGATGGCCTTTGGGGCTGGGAGGACCTCTGTGGTTGTTGGTTTCATGCCATCCGAGTCTCTGAAGTACCCATTGTGCTGGGGGTCCAGCTGCGGATCCTGCAGAGCAATGGCTGCCTGTGCCCATACCCTGGTTTGGACATGGACCCTCAAGATATGCTGCTTCAAAGCTCCAAGCGTTGGAGGGAGCTTGTCACTCTCTGCCCTGTGTTTGCAGAAGAGATGCCATCGTAGTTCAGGGATTGTCTTTATGTTGATACCCTTGGGTGAGTAGGCTGCACATACAAAGGAAGCCAGTGTGGACAGCATTCCTTCCGCCACTTCTGCTTCATCCAAAAGCATCTGCAGAGCATTGATAATATCTTCATCTGCTTTTAAATAGATCTGCAGCCAGGTTGCCTTGCCTATACGGGAGAACCTGCCTGTGTTGTCGGCACCAGTGAATGCATGGAAAGCTGGCAATGCCTTTGCTCTTTCTTTACCTAGAGCTCGCCACAGTGATTCAATCTGCACAACATCAGAGGCCATCGAAATTGATGTGTTCTTCAGCAAGAGATAATAGTTTGCTGTGACTAGCACTAGAATGTCTGTATCTGGTGAGAAGAACATCAACTGTGCATCAGCTGGGTTTCGGTGTGATGCCAGCACAGCCTGGTGGATCAGCAGCGTGTCTGCTTCTTCTTGGTTATTTTCTTCAAAGAGCAGGTCTTTGTTGCTCCTAGTGTTCCCAGAAGCTGACGTGATGATCAGCTTGGAGGATCCCCTGTTGTATTCTAGAATTTTGGCTGCAAGATAGTCAGTCAGATCGGCCTTCGTCTGGTCATGAAAGAGGAACCTGCTCAGTGGGATGTGTTTGATGTTGGTGTCATCTCTGACTTGGTACTGGATAGCTTTTCCTTGTCTTCGTTTATCTCTGGTTGCACTCTTCAGAGAATCTGTCCTGTATGTGTCGAACACAAGGATGATTTCATCATAATCTCTTGTTAGTGACATCAGTCTGTCATTGAAGCAGCCACTCAGATCCTTGACTGTCACTACAGTGGCTGGTTTTTTGCTCAGCCTCTGCACAAGCACCATGCCGTCCACCAGTGCTATCTTTCGACTTGGCTGATCAGTAGATGTGGTGTCTGTGAATCCTGTATCCATTGCATCTTGGAGGGTAGTACTTCCAGCTTGAGGCAGCTGATGGTCTTCATGGGGCACATCTTCTCTTGTCAGCTTCTCAAGGAGATTGATTAACTTGGACTTGTCATGGCATGGTAGGATTGTTCCATTAGAAGCGAACAGTGCCCTTGGTGTTAGAGTAAATTCATAGTTTCCTATGGCCTCTTTCTGGTTGATGTCTCGGTTTGACCTGGCAAGTACCATCAGCCTTGCAAACAGGTCCTTGGTCTCCTTCAGATCCACAGTATTGTCTCTGAGTTTCACTGTAATCTTCTTGTTCCCAGACAGGAACATCTTATTGTTCACTTTCTTCACAGGGGCCCAGAGGCTGACATCTCCATTGATCCGCTCTGACACGTAGTCTTCATACAACTTCTGGCCAGTGACATCAGCATTCAAGATCTGTGGTACATACTCATCTGGGATGTAGGCAAGTGTGATTACATTGTACAGCTTGTCACTTTCAGTAGTAAAGGGGTTTCCATGACTGAGTATGGCTGCCTTGATCTTGTCGATTGTACCATGTGCCCTCTTGACTGCACTTGGCCCAAGCTCATGGTGCTCTGTGGTTCTGTCAGCTTCCATGTCAAATTGACTCTTGAACTCTTTCGACAGACGTGAAAGTTCTGGTGTGACCATGACAAATCTCTGTCTGGCATTGGCATTGTTAGAGATGCCAATAATCCCAGAGAGAATCTTCATCAGCTTGTTCAGATGTTCGCATGCGTGGTCTGCCCCAACAGACACAAAGGGAATGACACTCTTGGTGACAGATATATTACCTGCGTGTAGTTCCTCCCAGGTCTGAGGGTGATTGATCCTCAAGTCATGCATGTCTGCGATGTATCTTGGCCAGAGTCTCTTTACTTGATGCGATCCATGGCAAAGAACAACTTGCTCAGTGCTTCTCCAGCCTGCAGAAGGAGTTCAAGGTCAGCATTCCGAGTTGCTGCTATGAAGAACAGGATTGTTTCCACCCGATGTAGGTAGCTCATCATGGCCTTGAACATCGCATGCTGGGATTTTTGTTCCTCCCATTGTTGGAATGCTGTGATGACTTCAGCAGTGGCCTCCAGGAGGGTCCTGTTGACTTGCTTCACAGATTCAGCCTCGATGTCTTTACCCTCCGAGCAGGCAGCTTCTACTCCCCCCCCACACACACACACACACACACACACACACACACACACACACACACACACACACACACACAGACACACACACACACACACACACACACACACACACACACACACACACACACACACACACACACACACACACACACACACACACACACACACACACACACACACACACCAGTGTTTCCCCTAGGTTTACTGCTTTGGGGCTCTTTGATAAAAGAGTGAAAAGTGACCGTACATAGATTACTTCAGTTGCAATTTGGTGCTACATATATTCTTTTTTTAAAGGGGGGGGGGGGGGCGGGGCTCCGTTGGCAGGGCGCAATGGTAGGGGAAACACACACACACACACATATTTAGTTAGCTAACTAGTGTTAGCAAACTACTGTATTTTAATTCGATGATACAAGATGATAACATCATGACATCATGAATGACACAATAGTAATGTTAGCTAGCTTAAATGGGATGTTGTAGACATAAAACCTGTTGAACTTTTCTGAGGTAAAAATGAAGATAATACTTACTGTACATGTATCAAATGATGTGTAAAATAACCTTGAGGGATGACACTTCTCATATAGTAGGCTATGTGTGGTCCACAACAAATATCAGAAGAAAATCAGAAGTCTGAAGAACAGGGCCGTTGCCATAAGAGACGAAAAACTGTGGTCGCACAGGGCCTCGCATAAGATTATTATTTTTTTTGCCTGAATTGAATTTATAGATATTTTATATTTATCTATATAAGATAATGGTCTATTATAGAGTATTTGATGAAAAATAATCAAATCAATTTGTTTTTGTATACTTAAAAAAACTTTGCACAGGTCATTTTCGACCGACTCATGCATCGAAGGGTTAATGTTGTAAAATGTAGTACCTTTGTAACTACCATCATTGGATTCCTTGACCCTGAAAATGTAGGTTTAGAAGTTAAAATCAATGTTCCAGCTTATTTAGAAGCCGAGATATTACAAAACCTACATTTTACGGCCTACATCTGGGCAAATGGAAACATGGATTTTCTGAATCCTTATAGAGTGGCGAAGTCCCGCCCATCTACTTCCGGTCCATGGGACCTTATTTCGGAAAAA